CATCCTCACCTCATCCTGCAGACGAACCCTGTTGGCTTCCTGAGTTTGATACTCAATTCGGAGCCTGTTGGCTTTCCGTTCAGCAGAAGAGATTTTCTTTTCATATTCCATATTATTAAGAGTTTCATTTACCAAAAAGGCAGTCTTCTCTTTCAGCACAATTTCTTTCTTTCTGATCTCCTGTTTTATATCTGCAATTAGCTATCAGGATAAAAGTATTTTATATTTGTTTGTATTAGTTAAGATATGTTAGATTAATTAAAGTTACAACCAGAAGACCAATTGCTATTATAACTATTATTTGCATGAGACAGCCCAGTTATCATCCTTAAAATTACTTTATTCCACAGCTCCTTCACAACACCAAAGACTACAATTGTTTTGGATTGGAAACTTCCAAAATATTCCAATCATTTCAAAAAAAGTGACACTATAAACTCGTATGAAAATAATTTCTGATTGAATGAATAGGGGGAAAAAAAGCTAAACAACCATTCAGATAGACTTGCAACAGATGAAATACAAGAGGAAAATTATCAACAGTAGTAACGTTTTCTTTACCTGACAGATTTATAGCTATTCAGTGAAAACTGTGTATTTTGAAAGGTTAAGTAAAAGATTAGCTAGGAAAATTATACTGTAGTTCTGATGTTTAAAAAGAAAAAAACCAAACCAAGCAAAATCCAGATATGGATCAGTTCCAGCAGTTTTACCAAAGCACAGTGATCAATCTGTTGATCTCTCTTTTGCATCTGTTGTATTGCATTCTCCCACTGCCTGAGGACTTCTTGCCTTTCTTGATGAACTCGGCGACAATCTTCAGCTGCCCTGTCAAGCTCCATCTGTTTAAAAGAAAGTACCCCCATGATTCCTGGTGTTAAAAATGTCACATGTAACCAGGGATCTCCAAGAACCTTAAGCACAAACCTGAGCTGTTAAGGTCTCTGTAAGCTCATTATCGAGAGCTCTGCGCTTCTGATTTGCCTGTATGGTCAACTTTTCTACTTGAAAGGTTAATGCCTGAAAATGAAAGGATATGAAAATATCATGTCTTTGAAAACAAATAGATCACATCTTACAGATTCTTAAAGCCCTGCTACAATTAGGGATTGAATTACTGAGGCATCAATTTTATTCTGCTTTAGAGAACAAAAAGCTGACAGTTTAGCATCCCAGATCTTCAGTCATACAAGAGGCCATAATTTTGTCAGTGCTTGGGACCAGACTGCAGCAAGGGCCAAGTAACCCTCCTCTGTGTGTAAATGCATATGTGGTGTCCTATTTCACTTCACTCTTCCTACTATGCTGTGTGACTGCTACTGTAAATGACAGCAGTGAGACTGTTTGTGTAAACTAAAGTTTTTGAGTCAAGTACTTAATGAGTAAAAATCAAATTTCTTCTCACTGTATTTAAAGGCTAAAAAGAATAATAACCCAGGTTACTTATCTCTATGTTAATAATATACTTGAGAACTAACCCTGAGAAAGTATGAACTTGTGACTGAAATCTGTGTTTATACAGATATATATGTTTATATCTTTCATTATTCCAGATAGTTTTACTGAAGTAGCTGTACTTTGTTTTCAGCCATATTGACAAATTTGGTTCTAAAGGGAAAACCTACGCTATACATCCACACTTGGGGTGGATTTTTGATTCAGCTCCTCTTGAGTTCAGTGGCACTCTTTTCCAGATTTTATTATCCATTTGTGCACCCTCTCAGAAAAATTTAAATTTTACCCAGACGAACAAGCAAATTAATGTCTTAAATCATGCCTTTCATTGCTGTAAAACCTGTTCTCTCTGATCTTGAGAATGAATCTCATATGGAATCACACTGTTGTGCTAAATGGAAACCAATTTAAAAGCACTGTTATACAAAATGTTGTTTCCATCTTATCTGACTCAATAATATAACAAGGTCTTCAAATGCCCAAATGGTTTTCCATTTAGTTTCCATTTCTACTTACTCCTAGTTTCCCTTCATCCTGCTGTGCATACTTCTGGATTGCAAGAGCATCATTATCTGTACGATTTAATTCCTTTAGCCAGCTCTCCAGGACTTCCTCATCACAGTTCATCTGTTGTTTTAAGTCTTCCAACTTCTGAATTGTTTTACTGATAGTATTCTTATGAAATAAGAGAAAATTAAAAGGTCAATACTAAATGTCTAATATTCATTGAATAGTAATTGAAGCAATCAGTTCAGGCTGTAACAAATTGTCCATAGAATTGCTAGGGTTTTTATTAATTGTGTGTTATACTTGAGGAATGCTATTGGATGTCCTGCTCTCAAAGAAGAAACAAGACAGTAAGTTGTCACAAATTTGAAATGCAAATAATTTTAAACAGAAAAGTCGACCTCTGGTAAGTTATACCTATATCCAGGATATTTATTCCACATAATAAACTGATCTGAGGCATCAAAGGGTAAAGTTCCTCCCTCGCATGCTAAGACCAAGCTCTTAGATCCTTATTCTACATGTCAATTTTCAAATGTCCCCATGTGACTGTGAAGAGACTTCCTGACACAAAAATGGGACAATCTGCACGCAGCTAAATAGTGAGAATATCTTCATCCTGCTACCCATTTGGAGAGACCAGAGATTACAAACAGCGTTAATCAGAAGAAATAGAGCAAATTAAAAAAAAAATAATTTAAATAATTCATAGAAAGAAAAAGAGACATTTCCAATCCCAGAAAACCACCTATAATTGGATAGTATTAAATTACTTTTTACCATAAAACAAATGTTTGATCTTGAAATCATGCCCAGAGTTTATTTTATGTGGAGAAGATTGCCACCAACAATTTTTAAACCATAAAGAAAATACATGTGAGAATTAACAAGACAGTGATATGGATGTGTGGTTGTGTATCTGGCATTAAGAACAGAAGTCTTTCAATATCTAATTAATGTTTGCTAAGTCTTGACAAGTCTAAGCAAGGAGATCCTCGGTGTCCTTTTATTTGCCTTCCCAAGGAAAAGCACATCCAGGTCATCTACTACAGTTCAGAAGTTTTAATTATAATTAGCTATTTTTGACTTATACTATTGTTTCTGTAAGTGTAAGTGAGGACAAGCTATAAAATTTTGCAAAACAGGTGTTCTCTTCCAAAAATTTTAAACCTTACTTCTTGTCTGTTTTTCTTTTCTCCTAAGGAAATCAACTCATTCTGCAGTCGTTTAAGGTCACTTTTGAGACGTCCACATTCTCTCTCAGCAAGAGCTTTAAAGTGTTGTTCAGTTTCAATTTCATTCTCTCTGGCTCTGTAAAGATACTGCAGAATAATAAATTTCAGCATTTTACAATAAACAAAAGGTATATACCAACAAACAAACTTTTTTCTACATACAATCAAATCCTAAGTCACAGATGGTGTGATTTCACCGTGTAAATGTAGGAATTTTTAGAGAAACTTTATTGTTTGGATTTTAGTATCTCAAATACATGTATTCTTATATTTTTATATATATACATATATATATATACACACATACACACATTGTATCAAGTGTCCACAGATCAACCATTTATAGCCCTAAAAACTCAAAGATTTTTCACCTAAGATTCTGAAATCTTAACCTTTTAACATTCAAATCTTAGAATCTTAGTCTCTTAATCACTACTGACTTCACATCAGATTCAGCAGGTGCAGCAAAATAAAATAAAAAAAAATTTTTGTTTTGGGATGAGACAGACCTCCACCAGGCTGGCCTATAGCAGTACCTCTGTATTGTCTAATCTTTCTTTCTTCTAATTCAAATTAAAACTTGAATCTGGCACACAAAAAACCCTCAAACATTAAGACGTTATTCAGCTGCAGGGAATAAGAGTTTTTCACCCAGGAAATCTTACCTAAAGAGAGTAAAGCTTTGACTCCAGACTCTTTAGAAATCTAAACTACCCATTTTGGCCAATTAACTCAGTGTGTAAGTGAAGACTTACACTTTAACCATCTCACCTCATTTTTCAGGTCTGTAAATTAACTCTTCACTAGCATTTCACCACTAATTCTTGACCAGTAAGTATAAAGAGGATAAATTTGTTCTTCCCATACACTGATGTTTTGTTTTCCTTGATCAATTTTTTCTTAATAATTTCAAAAGCCCCCATTCATGAAGAATTCTAAAATGTATTCTCCTTGGCTTTCTTCTAGGTACATTCATTTGACCTAGGGTGATCTTCTTAATGACCATCAAATAATGTCACTCAGATATATAGTTTAATTTTTGTTTCTTGTGGAAACCCTGGGAAGAAGGCCTAAAAAAAAAATCTCTAACAAAGCTGGCAAAATGTACAGGGACACCAGCCACAGAGAGACACTCAGGTTACAAGTCTGTCTGATAAAGCAGATCAGCTTGTGGTGGTGATTTACCTGAGAGAAGCTTAAGTCTTGTCTCACGTTCTTCAGATGAGCCGTCATTGCTTCTATGCGCTCCTTAAAGTTGCTCAGCTCATTTCTCAGGTTCGCTTTTTCCTTTTGCATCTTCTGCAGCTGTTTAAGATTAGAATCGCCAAGTGACTATTTGCAGCTGAGCGCTTATTACCTACAACTACTTAAGGATAAGTCATTGCGATTATTAATCAAAAACTGTAAGAAACACGCGCTGCGTTCCTCCAAAGCATTGAAATGAGAGGTTTCAGGAGAAAATCCCGTGCTTTGCTAAGGGACCGCACAGATCCCGCTCCTCCTCCCGGGGGGCTCGGGGGATGCAGGTCCCACGCTCGGCGGGAGGATCTCCCTCCCGGGTGCCCTCCGCGGAACTCGCAGGTTTTCCCTCCATCGCTCCCTCCCTCCCTCCCCGGCCGTGGGGGGCAGGAGGGCTCCGCTCCCTCCCGGCCGCAGCCCCGCGCTCACTTCGTCCTCCAGCGCCTTGTTCTCGGCGTTGGCCACGGGCACGGCGTAGGCGCTGTCCCAGCCGAGCTCGGCCAGCACCGAGGCCGTGGAGGAGCTGTCCAAGCTCTCCATGGCCGCGAAGGTGCCGCGCAGGGCCGGGGCTGTGGCGGCGCCGGGCGCTTGGCAACGGGCGGCAGCGGGAGACAACGGCGCCTCAGGCGGCACCGCCCCCGGGCCGGGCCGGGGGCACAGGGCGGGGACAGTCCTGGGCTCGGTGCCCGCAGGAACGCGGCTGTCTGCGGGTCACGGGGGCCTGGGGCCGGTTACCGTGTGCGCAGAGGCGGGTGTCAGACCCAGAGCCATTGGCAGCGCCTCAGAGTCCCCCTGGGCTCAGCTGCTCCCTGCCAGCATCAGCCCGAGCCACGGCTCCGCCGGGCCCGGGGTCACACAGCCCGCCTGCTGCTGGTGACACCAAATAGTTCTGGGGTCACACAGCAGGACAGCATGCCTGCTGCTGGTGACACCAAATAGTTCTGGGGTCACACAATGGGACAGCCCACCTACTGCTGGTGGCACCACATAAGAGAGGTCTCGGACACACACACTCACCACCACAGTGTGTGTCCTGTTTCTGAACTATCTTCACAATTAACAGGTGGGTTCCTGAGCCAGATTGCGTTCAGGTGACCACAAACACTGATGCTGTGACCCTATGAACTTGCATGTTACCTTTTGTACCCATCTGTGCTGCTGGGCTGCAAATAATCATGTCATTGAGCTCCACCATTCACGGATGGAGACAGGGACACCAATCTTGGCAGGAATCATAGAATCACAGAACGGTTTAGGTTAGAAGGGACCTTAAAGACCATCTAGTTCCAACTCCCCTACCGAGTTTTCTCCAAACCCCATCCAGCCTGGCCTTGAACACTTGCAGAGATGGGGCATCCACAACTTCTGTGGGCAACCTGTGCTAATGCCTTACCACTCTCACAGCAAAGAACTTCCTCCTAATATCTACTCTGAATCTATTCTCTTTTAGTTTGAAAATATTCCCCCTTGTCCTGTCATTACATACTCCTGTAAAAAGTCCCTAAAAAGAGGAAGCATAGTCTTGATGGAGAAACCCTCTGTTGGTGACTATTGTCTGGCTGAAGCATCTGAAAAGACATTAAAGGAATCAAAGCATGATTAAAAAGTGCCTGAGCAAAACAGCAATAAGCACTGGTAAATGGGTGGGAGATGGTTTGGAGGAGGAAGGAGTTTGCAGTGAGGTTTGTTACACAACATGAGCCCATAGTATATTAGCCACACTGCCCATAGCAGAAGACACTGATCTTGATAGATATCTGCATGTGGTATGAGGTGTTTTCAGAGAAGAAAAAATTGCTGAAGACAAGTGAAAGTCAATCCTGATAAGGAGGCACCAAAATGGAGACTTGCAGTGTTGTGCAGATTATGTTGGTCGCTTCACTGATCATTCCCTGAGAAGAGTCCCACATTATTATTACTGAAGTGTTGAAAGAAAAAATATGAAAAATGTGTGGAGGCAACAGTTTCTCTAAAACAGAGGAATGGTACAGGGTTCAGTGCCTCAAGCTAACTGTGGAAAAAATACAGACCTTGTGAGGCAGATCTTTTTTGCCCTTGTTGTCTTACCTGGCATGATGGGCTGTGGGTGCTTATAGGATGTGCTGAATAATATTTTTGACCTGCTGGAGGGTCTGTGCCAAGAGCCAGGTATTGCAGAGTGCAGTGAGCTGACCTGACTGAATGAAAAGGGGGAATTCCAAAGACACTACAAGCTACTAGAAAGATGTCAGAGACTACAATGGCACATCACTGTGTACACAGTAGCAGCACCTTCCTTTCCTACCCTTTTGCTCACTGTATGTGAAAAAAACTTGCCTTGCAGTGATTTTAAATTAACATCTGTAATTCAATGTGGCATTGCAGTGATGAGCACCTGATAATCTTGAGTTGAGCTTGTGTGTGAAATAACATAAGATCATATAGTGCCTGAGAAGAAGAAAGCAAATTATCAGCTGTTTGTTGTTAGGTGAGCAAGCTTGCTAAGCAAGGCTTCCAGTGAAAAATGGTGATTTATAATCACGTGCCATAATGTATACGTGCAAGAAACCTAATGAAATCAATCTTGATCCAGTTATTTAGTACACATACCAAACTTTTGAATTTTTTTAATCATAAACTTTCTGTTCACACTTTTGTGAGCGCAGCTTCATACATAGTGTCTGAGAAGTACAAAGTGTTATATGAGTAAAGAGTATTAATTCACAATTTTCATGGAAATTCCAACCCTTCAATTTCTCTTGCCTGACCCTGACTAAACAAATCTCCATGATATGCTTTTCTTTGTAAGGCTTTTCTCTACTCCAGCCTGGGGTAATGTGTTGTGTAAATGCAGAACTGTTTGCCAGCCGTGCTAATCCACCAGATGGTGCTGCATGTCTGTGGATTTCAGGGGGGTTTTGTTGGTGTCTCTTAAAACAGCAGCAATTGTCAACTCCTCAGTTAAGAGGGAATATATAATTCCTATTCCTAGGTATATATATACACACAGAAGGTTGATTTGTTTGTTTGTTTGTTTTTAAATTCTACTTCTTATTTTTAAAGGTGTTAGAGAAAGAGAAATACTTGTAATGTAGCAAGCTATTTTCCTCCTAACTTCCTTATAGATTCAATTTTCGCTTATGTAGACCACTGTGCCCATTTGTTCAAACTACCTAAATGTAAACTCACTGTTTCTGTCATTTAAAGGACTTACAGCTTCTCTTGTTCCTGCTAAAAAAGAAAAATAAATAATTTTTATTTGTTTATACCCAAGTTCCTTAAATGGTTATCTGTGTGAAAATAAAATTTCAATTATGATTTGCTTTCTAACAAATGATACTTTTGTTATTTAAAATACAGGTAAACATTTTTTCCTGACTATACATCTGAGCTACCTACTGAAAAAAAGACTAATTTAAAAGGTTATTGGATTATTTATAACTAACCCAGCATAGACAGTTAGTTTCATTTAATCACTGTTTATAATAAATTTCCCATGTGAATCTGCAAGTCACAGGGTGTTTGATAGTGGGATGTAATGGCCCACACTCTATCTTTTCTTTCAGATGGGTGCAGACACAATGGAAGAAACAAAAATGGGAAGAGACATTGAGGGGACCACACAAGTCAGTGTGAGATCAGAACATGTAGGAAGTCTGAAGGGTGGAGGATCTTGCATGATAATGACTTGTATATTGACTAAGAATCTCATGTCTGAAATCTGGATCCTGACTGAGGAGAAACACAGTTGCCTAAAAAGGAGAACTGCTCATAATCCAGGTCTGATATGTTATCAGTGAATTATATAAATTGACAGCAATTTAATATATTGGTCTTAGGGAAAAAAAAACCAAACCAAAACAACAACAATTTTGAGCCAAAATGAAATACCTCTGAAGTTTGAGGAAGTTTAAATTGGTCAACAGTAGGTTCTCTTTGGCCTGTTCTCTACTTTTTGCGTAGTTGTACTGGCAAAAGCTGTGGTTTTACTGGTACAGCCCAGTGGCTTTTGTATGGTGGAGATGGGCGCAGAGGAGAAAAAACTCATCCTTTTGCCGCAATATTCATTTGAAAAGCTACTACAAAACATTGTGACATAAGGTAATTTATTTTTACTTTTAGGACCTGAGTTTCCACCAAGCCCTGCCAGGTGCTGTGGCAGCAGTGCCTTTGGGGCAGGCAGAAGGGTTTTTTGTGGGGGTCTGTGCAGCCCCTCTGGGCACTGCCTGGCAAAGGGCACTGCTGTGGCTGCCCAAGAGCTGCCCAGTGGGTTGGGATGTGCGTTTGCCAAACACTGCTCAGAAAATGTTCATGTAAAACCATTACCAGGTTTTATTTAATAACCTCCTAACCCTCTCTCTCTCTCCTCCTCCTCCCCTCTGTTCCTCTAATGCCTTTTACAGCTCTTGCTGCACAGCGTGAAGCCTTAGAGCTGTATTCATCAATGACTCACACCCTTGCTTAGGGGCCAATTTTCATGGAAGCTATACAGGAAAATTTTGAAATGCACCTATCTCATGCAGGGCACAAGATGATTTCTCTATTCATTACTATTCCAAAAGGACTTGTTGTCCTTTGGAAATGGTCAGATATTGCTTACATTTGTGTGTGCGTGCATACGTATGCAGAGCTAACTTGCCTTTAGATTTGAGTGGTCTAAAAATAAAAATGTATTGTTATTATCATTGACACCAGTCAGCTGAAAGGCAACTAAGGTCCTGCTTACGCTGAGTGGAAGCAGGCAAATGCAAAAGAAAATGCAGCAGTGTGCTTTGGTTGAGCAAATCCTACAGACTCAAGGACAAAACTTCTTAAAGATCACCCTTTTGTTTGATGATATGAGCATCAGCCTTCTGAGGAATTTGGGAGTAAAGCCACAGACTTACTCTGAGAAACCAAACTGCACTTTTGCCTCCAGAAGTTTTTTATGTAGGTCATGGTCATAGTACATTTCTAAAACACTACAAGAAAACATGTTCCTTTCCTTTAAGACATCACATGTTAACTCAAGTTTTTAGCTCTGGGGAGGAGACAGAGGTAAAATTATTAGCTCAAATGACCTTTTGGTTTAAAACCCACATGATAGAACGGGAATCTTTACTGCAAAATTGCCAGTTAAAGAATAATTGCATTCTCAGGGGTTGCTAATTATATCCAAAATTACATTAAACAGTTTTGGGGAAGGGACTGAGACTGCTTAGCATAAAGGAGTTTATTTACGCATGTACAAAATAGCTTACATCCCTAAGGGATTAAACTAATTGCAATATTTTAATGTGAGTTGTAAAAATTGTGTCATGCAATGATGAATCAGAACTTGCAGGAAAAAAGAGGGCAAAATACACTTTTGCTTTTCATAATTTTTCCAACAGGCATTTCAGATCATAATTCTAAAAATAGCTTTTTCCTTCTCTTTGTTTCTTAAACAGAATGAAAAAATCCCTTTCTGCAGATCAAGCCCATCCACTGACATCAATTTTTGCCTTCGATCTGCTCAGGTGAGTTCCTCAAGAATATGTTAGAGACTAGATTTGTTTTTTCCTTATTTGTGGATGTTGTTTTTCCAAAGTGAATTATGCTAATAACATAACTTTTTGCTTGGCAGATAAGTTTTGTCCTAACAAGAGAGCATTTTCTTACAAGAGTGCATAGAATTACCAAGCCCCACATGTATGTTACACAAATCAGGAAAATGCATGACCCTGTCAAAGCCAAAAAATAGACAGAGTCCTGTGAATGCAGTAGCATGATCCTTGTTTTAGAGATGACAAAACACAGTCAAAAAAAAGAAGTTAAATGAATTCCCTCACATTGCCCAGAATACGAAGTAGGAAATTAAAAATTTTTTCTTTGCCTTTTATTCTCAGGCACAACTTTAGTAGTTTTATGAAGTAATTGCTGTTTACCTGGGTAGCCTCTAAGTTCTTCCTTTCCAAAGTCTCTTTGTGCTGTAGAGAGTATGTAGGGATTGTAAATGTACTCCTAAGGAGCATTCCACAGTTGAACTGATTGCCAGGCCAAGCAAGAGACCACAGTAAAGGGGTGAATAATTTGATCCAAGATGGATTTGTACTCTACCAACACAGCCTGAAATCTTCTAATGCTTTTGGATTTGATTGTGAGCTGTTCATTGCTGTTTGAGCCTGTTCTTTTCTATTACCATATTTTCTCTGGTTATCATTTCTGTGTACCTTATCTTTGTATAAAAGGCCACATCTTTGTCATATTTCCAGGGAGTAGTCAGTAGAGGCATACAAAATTTACTGCTGTAGACCAAAGTAAGACAGATAAAGGTAGTGCATTACAAAGTTCTTGCCCTCAATCATGCAGAAGGCTCTCTATGCTTCTGTGAGCAGTGGTACCTGTGGGGCTGCACTGTAATGGGAGAAGGGTTAACAGCAAACCAGGACATTTTCTGCAGCAAAAAAGAGATGGAATCTTCTCTAAGCAATTACCTTTTATGTGATAAACAATGTCAGTGGTCAATAGAGGGAGTTTTCTTACCCTAATCCCCTTCTGTTTAGCTTAAAATAGAAATGCTATTCGTTTGACTAGCAGGTTGGGGTATCATGAAGCCTGGTCATACTTGTTTGCATGCGACATTTATCTGCCAGCAGAAGGGTTACTGCAGTAGCCTTTGTCTCTGCTTTCCCTAAATAAAAAACAATACACCAATAAATGCATGTTACAGCTTCGGTGGTGTAAGGTACTTTTGTGAGATGTGTCTATTGGCACGCTGCAGTCTTTTTGGCATACAGAGTGCACTGCTATTTATTACAGATTCTGTTGGCATCATGAAGTTGTAAGTAGCTTCTCCTGTACTTTTAGCTTCTACTGACTCTGAAAATCCAGCTTTAATTACTAATGGGTACTTTACAAAACAATTTCCTTCTGGTAAAGGATGCACATAGTCTGTTATCATTAGATATCTGCTGGCACTACACATAGCTTGTGCTCTGACCAACCCTTAGAGAATGGGAGGTTTGATAAAAGAGAAAAGCCAAAAGCCATTATATGTACTTAAGGTACTGAAGAATTTAAAGATTACAACAGCATATCTGTTTGAACATAGGAGCTGTGACTTTCAATGGATGTGATGTTCCCCATGGATGTGGTGAGATGTGACAGAATGGCCACACAGCTGAGTATTCCATAGCTGAGTAGCCCTCAGCTCAGTTACAGGACACAGAAAAATCAGAGCTTCAAGACAACATGCTTATAGCTTTCTCTGTCTATTGTTCTTTCTAGTGGAGTGCAGCTACTGTGATCTCTTTCCTGACTATCAGGGTTTTTTGTGTCTTCTTTTTTACTTCAGAAATACATTTATTTGAATCAGAATTGAACTAAAAAAATAAAAGTGGGGCACAACATTTGAAATAAAAAAAGTCCTACTTAACATTGTGAAAGGTTATATGCAAAAGTAGTAGAAATTACAATCATTTTTATTTTTTATTTTAATATTTTTTCCTTTTTTTTTTTTTATAACTTTCTTTATAAACAGTGTAATGAGAAAGCTAGGGCAGTGCCATGGAAGGCCAGAAGCCTTGCAGTTAAAGGAATCTGATCAAAGAGAAGAACCTTAGGCTGGCCTTAGCCACAGCCATTCCCAGCTCTTTGCTGAAGTCTCAAGCAACTGCAATTTCTTCTGTTCCCCACTTCTGTCTGTGAACATTCAGTGCTTGAATCCTGCTGCTTCTGGCTCATAAAATCTTGTGTCTGTAGAAAGTTTCTTCATTTCCTTGGTTTTCTTTACTATCTAGAAATTTTAGCAAGCAAAAATTTCTACTTGATAATAGTCAGTGCTCCAGAAGGAGGGTGTCTATTGGTCTAAACTACAAACTTTACAGTGAACCAGATCCTTGGCTAGAAAAAAGCACAGAGCTCCCCTGAACCAGCAAACAATTCACCTGGTGCAGACTGTGAACTGCAGGAATTCAACATGGAAAATGCCACTGTAAGAGTGTGAGAAATGCATATAACCCAGCAAAAGTACCTTCATTCTGTCCCAAGGGCAGGATCCAAGGATTCTATCTGCATTGTAGTATTTCTGGAATTTCTTCTGCTTCAACAGCCAACGGTTACAAAATCTTACATCTATGTATTATAGTTGGAATAGTCCAATGTACTTTTCTATGGAGGCATGAAAAATTATACATTCCCTATCAAACTTACAATGAGGGTATCAATGTTTTGTACGGGGAGATCAGATGGCCCCAAGACTTGTTGCTGTGCTTAGTATTTGGCATGGAGTGTCACCATCTTCATGCAGTAGTTACTTGATGTCTCTAAAGTGCATATTTGCTGTCATGTTACTGCTGTGTGTATAATAAAATGCTATATAGGACATAGCATAATCTTGTTTGATATTATGATCCTGTGATTTTCTTTAAAAAGATTAATCTTGTAAATACTGTAAATTTATATTAGTAGTCTCAGTAAGCTGTTTAAGGTTTATGTGGAACAGTATTATTTATATTTATAGTCAGTGACCCTGATACCTTGTACTTAAAGTTGAGATATTTTTATGTTAATTTGTTTCTTTATTGCCTTGGCTAAAAGAACCCCAAACACTATTAGACTTGATTTTCAGAAGATCTTCCAAACTACATATATCTACAATCTACTCATAGATTTTGGAGGTATTTTAACAATTATTGCCATTTCATATTGCCATTTAAGTCATTAGGGGGTGAGTAAGGTACACCTAGAGATACAAAACATTATCTATGAATTAGCCTCTTTGAAATGCACTTCATTGCTGTATCAGTCATTGCAGAGAAAGGTTCTGAGACCAGGAGTACATATGAAAATATATACAATCCTTTTAAAAGGTAGAATATTTGAATTTAGGTTGCAAAATAGACAGTTGCATGAAAATATCACTCCTGTCATGTCAGTTGAAATATCAGAAATCCTATTTCTAATCCCCTCCATGTAATATGGCACGGGGACATAGATACACATCAGCCATAAAGAGAGACAGTACAGCCTTTCCAGCAGACTCTGCAGGCTGCCTACAATTTCAATCCCCCTCCTTCAACCTCTCCACCCACTGGTTGAGCCTCTAGTTGCCCTTCCAACACCTAATGCACTCCTGACACAATGAAGGGGAGGGCAGGAGCAGTTGGTGAAAAATTAGGCACTGCAGACAAAAACTTGACAGACTGTCTTGCTCCCAGTGTCACAATATGAACCGACCTGGTAAAAACTAATGGCCATTACCCCATCTCACTGTATGACTTAAATGACTTACAGCCACACGCAGAGAAAGTTCTTTCAACTACTTCCATGGAGTTTTTTTTAATTTAATTTGCATGATAAGATGTACAAGGCAAGGTTTTTACAGATTAAGCAGCTTCATTTTTCTCTGACTCCTGTATAAAGTATGGATAATTTCACCGGAATCATTGGAGTAACTTCATTATCAAACGGATGTTGAGAGAGCACTTTCACAGTCCTTAGGCAGCTTTCCAGTTGTTGCTTCTCTATGCTCATGGTGAGCTCCTATTTACATCTTCCCTAAGGCTGGAGTTTCTAGGCACACTGAGCTCCCACCCAACACTGTGTATCTGGTGTTCTCAGGAGAGATGGTCCTTATGGATTGTGTCAGTGTTGTACAGGACATAACTTGGGTCAACATCCAAGATTCTCATGCACCCAAGCAGCTTCTATGTTGGCAACTATCTGGAAAATGTAGGTATTCTAATAAGTACAATGTTGTATTTGCAGCTTTATAAATGCTGCCTCAGTTTCACTTGAATGTTTTGTCTTTGATTTTCCAGGCTGGTACCTATATCCTGTGTTGCTGGCCACACCTCTTGTTCTTGCCTTTGTCATAAATCCTGTCTTGGACTTAAGATACTTTTCTCTCTGAAGTTTCACTAAAATTGGTAAACTCCTGTGAAATGTTCCAATTCTGAGAAGAACAGTTTTCCTGAGGAATTCCCAGCAAGTTCTTTACAAAAGTTCTGGTAAAAGCAACTGTTCTCTGTCTCCATGTCCAGTTACTTCTGCTAATTTAAAAGCATGGTCATGGGCTTGAGAAAAGCAGCTCTATGAGCAGAAGCAGCCAGAGTTTAAATGTAGGAGGAGAGGAGAGGGATCAAGAGCTGTGCAAAGCTGAAAATGTTGTATCACGCAGGAATTTGAGTCATCAAGCCTGGCTATCCCCTGTTGTGTCCTACAGCTTCTGTAACCTGACCTAAACAGTAAATCCTCCAATTACTTACAATTGGGGCCATACATTTACATATGTACAAAAGCCAGGAGAAGGTTGCTTATACCTGCTCAACCAGTTGCTGTTAGTGTGTAAAGCTGTTAAAAAGTACATGTGCAGCAACCACGAGCATGATGTGCTTCCTGGGCTTTTCATCTGCCATCCACACTAAACTGCCATCTGGAGTGCCCATGGACAATGTCTGTGAGGTGTGTTTGGAAGGTCTTCCAGCACATTAGGGCACAGCATGTACTGAGCATAAGGTTTTCTCTGGGAGTACCT